AACATTTGAAAAGAAAACAGTAGCAATAATAACAATAATTTAATAATAGTAGTGATTAAAATAATGATAATGAAAACAACTGATTGAATATCAATAGTAAGACTGGCGCTGTGACCTTTCACGTAGATACATTACTGTTGTAAGTTTGGGCAACAGATTTTCTTTCCGTCCATGACAATGCGTCCAGAAAAAAGATGTCTTTTGCAGGCGTCAAACGGAGATTAAAAAACTCTAAAAACAACCAAACCCCAACGAACAAACAATAACAGCTCAAAACAATACAAACAAACGAACAAACGAAAAACAACCAACAGCGACCTTCTCCAAAAATACAAACAAACAAATTATAACAACCCGCTCAAACCCAAACCCAAACACGGACGATCAAAAAATAAATCTTCGCACACATATCACACACACACACACACACACACACACACACTCACACACACACACACACACACACACACACACACACACATACACACACATTCATCTTTGTTACACTGCATAGAAGATAGACCTCAGAAATTTGAACTGTTGGCGTATCCAGCTCCAAGGTACCATGTTAGCTCGAAGTATCAACTAATCATAAAACCTCATGAATTACGTATTTACTTGTTTAAGCATGCACTGTGTTGCCTTAGTTATATCAACCAATATAATAAAGTACATTGTACAAGTTTTCACAGGCTTTTTCAAATCATTTGGCACCCCCCGGGGCAGTGTCACTGACTGTAGTGTCTTTACGCCATTCCCAAATGGCGGACATTTCTCATTCAAGCACAGTGGAATTGTAAATGGGCTGATTCATCATGTCACGCTCATAACTGTGCCTGATCTGCAACAGGGAACTGCTGCTTTCTAATTCTTACTATTGTCATTTTCCTCTATTTCTTTTGTATGTTTGTCACTCTTGTGACCTGCTATTTCCAGGGTGCCTTGATAGTCGAAGCAGACTTTATGCTGTTGATGCTAGAGAGGTGAGCAGAGTAAGTCTGATTCCCTGTAAAGACTTCTCTGTTGACACCCACCCCTTGGCGCTCACATGACCTTATGCAGTTGGGAGCGCCATAAAACCCTCTACTGAAACTAAAAACCTAAAAAATTATTTGGCCATATTGTGTTTGCTCCAGAAAAAAAAAGTTCACGGGCGTAGGACACCCAGACGCTAGCTTATGTACATAACAGTTTGACCGTTATCTTCAATCATTATTATTTTGAACAACGATTATAATGCTAATAGTTTGTCGTTAACATGAAGTTCACATGATAAAGTGAGATGAGATGAGACAAGAGAAGATAAGATGAGATAAGATGAGATAAGATAAGATAAGATAAGATAAGATACACCACACGTGCGCGCGCGAAAGCACCCTCTCTGTCATACACTTCTTTGAACATACACACATAAGGCGTGCACTCACAAACAGACCCCCATGTGCAGTCTTATGATCATACGCATTGCATAAATAATTTAATATTGTTAACAATAAATGGGTTAGCCTGCTTGTCCTAGAAAGTGACCCTTTTTTTTTATTTGATGCATGCAGCATTACGCCTATTTTGTCAAGAGGCAGTTTTTCTTTGTAACTACCACAGCACTCCCAAGGAGAAAGAGGGGGAGGTGGAGAGGAAAAGACGAGCAGCCTAGCGACCTATTCTTGCTTGATTCTTTGTTTATGAGGAACGTAACATCAAAACAGATTAATTTGCTATTGAGAGTGTAATGAATAACTACAGTCAGGTGAGACTTCTGGAGAAAAAATAAATAGGGCTTTTTTACTTTTACTCTGAATAAAAAAGGCTTACAATTAGCGCGACGGTTGGGTTTATAATTGTGCTTATAACACAAACACACCATCCCGCATACGCAGAACAGACGAATGTACATCCTGGTCTTGCAAAGTTGTATGTCAACAAGGCAATAAATACACAGGCTCGCTTGACCGCACTTAACGCTCTCCGTAGGCCAACGCAGTGTTTCACTATCGTATCCATACGATGTGGGGAACTCTGTGCCACCACTTAACCCTATCCGTACGTCATGTTTTACTATCGTATCCATACGATGTGGGGAACTCTGTGCCACCACTTAACCCTATCCGTACGTCATGTTTTACTATCGTATCCATACGACGTGGGGAACTCTGTGCCACCACTTTTCAAATAAGAAACTTGCTCGTTAATCCGATCCGTACGCTTTGCTTAGCAGTCTGTCAAAATGAATTTTTGAGAAAAACTAAAAGTCTCAAAGAGATCTTCGTACCAGAAGTATTCTAAAATGTGAGTAATACAACCCCGGGGGTACAAAATGACCCCAGGGCGTATGGACAGGGTTGAAAGGGGTGCAAAAAAAGAGGGTAAATTATAATGCAGATTTGATATAGACACGTTGTGGGCAAACCTTTTCCTGGTGGGGCAACAAGACCTGAACAGTGTCTAGATTTTTTGTTCTGTAACGAAATAAGCAGCTCATGCGGCCATGAAACGCGCTTGTTGAAAAGACGTAAATATTCAAAGGCTATAATATAGAATTGTAGGCAGGTAGGTAGGTAGGTAGGTAGGTAGGTAGGTAGGTAGGTAGGTAGGTAGGCATGGATAGATGGATGGATGGATGGGTTGATGTACAAGTAAGGGTTTTAAGGCGCTCGCAACTGCATGAGGTCATGTCATATGAGCACACAGGACACTTTAAACATTTTCAATTGGTATAGGAAATTTTGAATTTTGCCCGAGCCAAAGAGGTTATAATAGTTCTATTTATAATCTCTTTTGTGCCGAGTTATTTACGTACTCGCGTCCTTATAGCCGAAAAAAGACACGAAACAACAAAAAGATATTTCCCCCCTTGAACCTTTCTAAGTCTTTACTTTCTGGGGTTTTTGTTGTTTTTTGTTTGTTTGTTGTTGTTTTTTTTGCGGGGAGGGGGGGGGGCGTTGTTGTTGTTTTGCTGTTTTCATTTTTTTTAAATGCTATTATTATCGTTTTCTTTTTGTTCCTTTTTCTTTTTGGATCGTAGGAGTGGTTTAATTAGCAGTATGCACAGAGTCTTTAGATGGAAGTCCGTGGCAAAGCTGGGAGTCCGAACTCCGAGATGGCTGATGAGAATCGTGTTGCTTCTCACTTCGTTCGTGGTGGTCAGTGCAGTGTATGTGATGTACAGCGACGAGGTTCTGTCTGTCAGAGACAGCGTCATGGCCATGTCGTGGCAAGGCTTTGGGCCCGAGAGAGGTCAGAGACATCTGTCTGTCTGTCTGTCTGTCTGTCTGTCTGTCTGTCTGTCTGTCTGTCTGTCTGTCTGTCTGT